AAATCGTTCTACAAAAAAGGCACTTGTACATACACGTTCATTGCCGCACTATTCACAATAGCAAAAACATGGAACCAACCCTATGAAAGTGGACTGGATAAAGAAAATGGGGTACATATACATGATGGAGTATTATGCAGCCATAAAGAAGAACAAAGTTAGGGACTTTGCAGCAAATTGGATGGAGTTGGAGACCGTTATACTGAGTGATCTGTCACAGAAACAAAGAACTGAATACCACGTGTTCTCACTCATAGGTGGGCTCTGAACATTAATCACATGAGCACAAGGAGGGGGTTGGTAGTCTCTGGGCACTAGGGGAAGGAGGGAGCGGGGAGGGTGGGGATCGTGTAGCCACACAGAGGGTACCTGGTCCAGTACCAGGGGGAGTAAGGACCAGTTAGAAGCCCACACTTCACCTGCATGCCGCCTGCTTATGTAGTCAGTCCTCACTCGTACCCCACGTCACTAACAAAATAAAATTTTCATAAAGAAAGAACTAGAGCGATGCTTTTGGAAAGAGAGGTACCTTCTGATAATGTGGTCTAAAAGTCTATGTGATTGATGTAAAATTCGAGTAATATAACATTTGAAGTTTTTTTATAGAGTTGTGGGATACAAGTGAGGATTTGCTACTTAAGTAAGTTGCACGCAGGTGAAGTTTGGGCTTCTAGCGGGCCTTCTCTCCCCCTGATGGTGGACCAGGTACCAAGTTGTGGCCACATATCCTCCCTTCTCCCTCCCTGTCGCCCTAGTAGGGTCTGTTCTACCATAAAGACACCTGCACACGTATGTTGATTGCAGCCCTGTTCACAATAGCAAAGCCATGGAGCCTACCCAGATGCCCATCGAAATTAGACAGATAAAGAAAAAAAAATTTTTGATAGACTATGTTTAGAGCCATTTTAGGTTTTAGATTGTAGAGAACTGGTATAATTTCTTCCTTAAATGTTTCATAGTATTTACCAGTGAACCCATCTTGGCCTGGTACATTCTGATTTTGCAAGTTGACTCATTATTGATACAATTTCTATAGTAAATACAGACCTTTCATGATTGTCTGTTTCTTTTTGTATGAGTTTTGGTAAACTGTGTCTTTCAAGGAATTGGTCCATTACATCTAGGTTATGACATTTATTAGCATAGAGTTGTTCATAGTATTCTTTTCTTATCCTTATTTTAAAGCCCATGTAATCTGTAGTGATATTCCCTCTTTCATTTCTTATATTAGTAATTTGTGTCCTCTCTTTTTCTTAGCTAACCTGGCTACAGGCTTATCAATTTTATTTTCAAAGAACCAGCTTTTGGTTTCATTGATTTTTCTCTATGACTTTCCTGTTTTCATTGTCATGGATTTCTGCTCTAATTTTTATTATTTCTTTTCCTCTGCTTGTTTTGGATTTAATTTCCTCTTCTTTTTCTAGCTTCCTGAGATGGAAATTTAGGTTATTGATTTTAGACCTTTCTTCTTTTTTAAAGTTTGTGTTTGGTGTTTTAAATTTCCCTCTGAGCACTGCTTTTACTGTATCATACACGTTTTGATAAGTTATGATTTCATTTTTATTTAGTTCAAAATAGTCTTTATTATCTTCTATACTAAAACACTCTGGAGATAAATAATTAAATAAATAAATAATTAAATCTCACTATTTTCGACCAATAAAGCCCAGTCTGTTTAAATTGCCAATTAGTTCATTGTACAAGATAGCTCAGCGATTTAAGAGTCAAGACCCTGTTCTCAGACAGTATATTTTTCAATTTCAGCTTGACCAGTTACTAGGTGTGTGGGCTTAGGCAAGTTATTTTTTAACAGTCTTATTGAGATATAATTCCTATATTGTATGATTCACCCCCTTAAAATGTACTATCCAGTGATTTTTCGTGTGTTCACGAGCTGTACAACCAGTCAACTTTAGAAAATTTCGTCATCCAATAAGCTCATGACCACAGGGAGTCACTCCCCACCTCCTTTCCAGCTCCACCACCACTTCCCCCACAGCCCCTCAGCCCAGCCAGTCACGTGCCCAGTTTTTGTTTCTGTATGTGGCCTATTGTGGACAGTTTTTTTTAAACTCCCCTTATCTAACCATGGTCGTACATCCCTTGACCAGCATCTCCACACCTGCCCTCCCCCCTAACCACCCAAGCCTTTGGTAGCCACCACTCTTCTCTCTCCTTCTATGAGATCAGCTTTTTTATATTCCACGTATGAGTGAAATCATGTGGTATTTGTTTTTGTGTGCCTGGCTTATTTCACTTAAAATAATATTCTCCATATTCATCCATGTTGTCACAAATGACAGAATTTTGTTCTTCTTTTATGGCTAAATAGTGTTCCATTGTATATATATACCACATTTTCTTTATCCACTCATCTGCTGCTGGGCACTTACATTGATTTCATATCTTGGCTATTGTGAATAGTGCTACAATAATATGGGAGTGCAGATGTCTTTTTAGCGTACTGATTTCAGCTTCTTTGGGTGTCCATCCAGTAGTGGGTTTCCTAGATTATATGGTAGTTCAATTCTTAATATTTTGAGGGACTTTCATACTGTTTTCCATAATGGCTGTACAAATACACATTTCCATCAATTATGTGTCAGAGTTCTTTTTTCTCCACATCCTCGCCAACACTTACCTTTTGTCTTTTTGATAATAACCATTCGTTATTCTAACAGATGTGAGGTGATATCTCATTGTGGTTTTGACTTGCATCTCCCTGATGATTAGTGATGTTGAGCATTTCTTCATGAACATTCTGACCATTTATATGTCTTCTTGTAATAAGTGTCTATTAGGGTCTTTTGCTGGGTTTTTTTTAACAGAATATTCATTCCTCGTCTCCCACATGGAAACCTATTACTTACTAGACTTAGGTATTTTCCTTCCTCTGGTCACTTATATTCTGATAATACCACAGCAGAGTAAGCTACAGTGAACTAATTTCTGCTCAGGGCTGGTCTTGTTAAGGACAGTGTGCTCTGACATATTTCAAAGTGGTTCCTTTTCCCCTTCCCCTGCCAGAAGCATAAGGGACTTTTTCTCCAATATTTACTGTGACAACTTGACCAAATTCCTGTTGGTAAAATTCTCAAAAGTGGGGGATCCCTGAAGACTGAGTCCTCCTGGATTTTAGTGCTCAAAGTTGTCCACAGGAACCTCCAACAATTTGTCAATTACAGTTCAGGTCTTTGTGTCTGGGCACTGATTCCCTTGGAAGTTTCTGCTCCTGTGTCTCTTCTGGTCTCCTGTGAGTCCCTGTCTGTCTCTCCAGTTGGGGACAGCAGCTTACTCTGTGTATTCAACTCTCGTAGGGATCCAAGAAAGGTTATTAACTTTTCAGTCTGTTCAGCTTTTTACTTGGTAAGACAGCTGTCTTACTTGGTAAGACAGAGTGGTAGCTTTTTAAATGTAGCACCAGAAACCAAAAGGATCCGAAGTTTTCTCTTACCAGCAGACTCAAGGGAACTTCAGTATACTTTCTTTTGCGCTTTGATATTTCTTACTGTATTGAAAATAATAGAATTTGTTGACTTTGTATCTTCTAATGGACAATATTAAGGAATGTAATTCCTTAAGGAATCAGTTAAAAACATGTGTGTGAGGTAGCTTGTGCCTGGCAGATTTTAGGTGGAAATAGTTACTTTTAACTTGGAAAAAGAGTATTTGTTCTGGGTTTAATATGTGGTGAGGTCTCACTTCAGTTTTCTTTCCCAGGTGTTCGAGAATTTCCTTCTTTTGGTTGTCAGATGCTCTTTTTTATCAATCATATTTTCCTAGAATACACTGGAATAATTGAGAGAAATATACCTCACATTTTCTCTTAAGGAATATGCAGAAAGAGTGAATCTTGTATATCAGCCCGTGGAGTTCAGAGGCTAGAGAAGCAATCAGTTTCTCAGTTTCTGAGATTGAAAATCACAGGGTGGAAATTATCTTTGTCCCATAGTTTTACAAACAAGACAAAATATAGCCACAAAAAAGGGACCATGGTGCATTTGCTAGATGCAGAAAATGTAGGTCACAAATGAGTAATAAGTCATACTGTGTGAAAAGATGAAAAGCATTGAAAGGCATGACTGATGTTTCAAAAGCTTTTGTAACTCAGTAAGACACAGTCTGTGTATGGAACAGTCCTGCAGAGAGTGCCTTGGCCTTACCAAAAAAAAAAAACAACAAAAACCCGGGGGAGGGGGAGTTCTTATTCACAAATAGCATGTTTGCTGCAAACTTCAATTGCCAGTAGTTTTCAATTTATATACTAGTACATATGGACTACAGATTAAGCTGCAGGTTCAGCTTACTCTGTTTTTAAATTTTGGATGCTTTAGGGAAGACCAAAGGTAATACATGAAAGAGTTCGGGCAATTTCCACAGAAACAACAGCTAAATCTCTAAGTAAGAGTTTTTTTAAAAAAAATAACTCTGTGGGGTAGTTTAACTGTGCCAGATTGCAGGGGGACACTTGCCTTCATGTTTTAATCCAGGAATAAAGATTGACAACCCTTTTCTACAAAACTGTGTGTCGAGAAGAGAGATAGGGAAGAATGTGTGTGTGTGTGTGTGTGTGTTTAACTATTGAGAAATATGCAGGAAATGGAAAGACAAGAATAGTTCAGAATAGATTGACTATGTGAAGAGTGATTTTCATATTCCTCTGAGAAGTCTAATTAGTTGATTTAATGGGTTAATTTCTGATTTAAAACTGGAAAGCAATTTTTTAACTTAAGAAATTGTTTTGCAGCAAATGCAGAGTGAAGACCTTTGTGCATAATTGAGATTTAGTTGCAACATGCCCATATGTTAAAGAAATTATTTTATAATTGCAGAGCTTAAAAACAAGTTGTTCCATTTTGAGACTTTTAAGTTACTACACAAAGGAGATCGATACTTACTCGATTTTTCAAATAGCTATTAAGCATTATTTATATGGCCACTACTAAGTAGCAACTAATCCAGGTCAAATGCTTGTTGTTCTTTTTTTGTTTTTGACATAGATGGAATTAGACACGGCATTAAGTGATTTGGAGGCCGCAGACTTTGCAGAACTGGTAAGAGAAGAAGTGGGTTTGAAGAAAGACTCGATGTTGAATTCTTATTTGGTGTGTTCGTCATTATTCTGAGTATTACCAAGTGGGCACATAACATATTGAAATATACAACCCTAGGCCTCTGTTTTGACACTGACAGGATCTATTTTGTTTGTCTTAGGTTGTCCACTCAGTTGAAATAATTGTTATACAACATATATTATGAGATTTTAAAATGTTTAATTACATTGGTGTCATTAAGAAATGGATTTTTTGAGGAAAGGAAATATAGATGTAATATTGATTAAGTTACATAAGAACCCTGTAGAGCTGAATTTACATTGGAAGTATCAATATGGCTTTTAATCTTTAAAAAAATTCCATTTCCTAGCTATATCCAATGAAAAGGCCTAGACACAGTAACCATTCTCGGAGCCATAAGTGCCACGAACACCTGGGCCATGGTGTATAAATAGCATTTCTCACCAACCAGAACCTGAGCTGCTCAAGAAATGGCTCATACAGGATCAGTCTGAGGACATCTTGTCATATCAGAAAACTTTACCTGCAGGGTTAGAGTAGAACTCAGGTGGCCAGGAGACAACTTGAAAAGACTCTTGAGCTTCTGTAAGGTTAATAACCACAGCAGATCAAAACACATCAGTCATGTCTGAGTCCATGAGTTTATAATGTTACTAGAGAAAAATAGAAACTTATTGGTCAGCTTTGGAGAATGCAAGGGAACCAAGTCCTTTCTGTGAAAACCAGTAAATGAGGTAGAATCAGACATTTATCTTGTGTTTGCTGTCTGAACCGTTTGGTTACCAAATTGAGGTGAGGGGGAGTTTCTCTTTATGGGGGTAGTCTACCTGGCATGTCAAGAAAGACTGGTGGAATTGGATTATCACTGTTCTACAATCATATTAGTGGATCTGGCCAGTGGTCACCAGTAGTTGTTAATATCACATAAAGGGAGACAGCGACATAGTATATGGGTCCTGATGGAGACACACACACCACCTATGACCTACACTTGAAGAGACTTCAAGATCTAACTACCAGTTTACAAGAAATACCATCAAAAAGGGGTCATGTCAAATGACCCTATCTGGGAAAGAGGGGGTGCAGCCTGCACAATCCAGACTGGGAAACATTTCAGGACAGTTTCTTCTTATCAGTCATGAGTGCCTTAACATAGCAACCAGATGCAATGTATGGCCTTTCTTGGATCCTGATTCACACGGACTTTTGAAAAACATTTCTGAGATAATCAAGGAAATGTAAACACTAATGACTGGGTATTCGATGAGAATAATTCTTTAGATGTGGTCATGGTATTATGGTTATGTATGCAGAATGCCAAAAAAATGTATACACATTTCAAGAAATGAAAAAACTGTATTAAAACTGTAATACTCAATAAGCTGAATACAAATCACGTTTGACTTCTGCATTTACAAGAGGTGCTCAAAGTGGCTACCATCAGTGTCCAAATACTTCTGGTGATGGCAAACATCTCTTTACATCTTTTAAAATGTATATACCCAGCCGGGCTCAGTGGCTCAGCCTGTAATCCCGCGCCTTTGGGAGGCTGAGGTGAGTGGATTGCCTGAGGCCGCAGGTTCGAGACTTGCCTGTGCAGCAAGACCTCATCTCTACAATAAATCAAAAAATCAGCCGGGCGTGGTAGCGCATGCCTGTAATTCCGGCTACTTGGAAGGCTGAGGCGGAAGGATCGCCTGAGCCCAGCAGGCCGAGGCTGCGGTGGCCAGGAGTGGCCACTGCACTCCAGTCTGGGCGACAGAGTGAGACTCCAACTCAAAAAAAAAAATAAAATAAAATAAAATAAAATGTATATACCCTTTTTTGGTACCCCCAGTATTTAAGACTCCTTCTGTTTTAGAGATGCATTCTGAAGTATAGACAGATGAAATGATGTAAGATCTGGGTTTTGAAATGGCTCAACAGAGAGTGGTGAAGAGGGAAGGGTATGGACACAAGATGAGCTGTGGACGGGTCACAGTCACAACTGAGTGGTGGTGGCTACACAGGACCTAATTCTACTGTTCTCTTTTCGTATATGCTCAAAATTTTTAGTAATAAAAGTTATTTTAAAAAGTAAGTGGGGATTGAGGGATAGAACCCTTGAGGATTGGCTCATTCTCAAGAAGATTGCTGGGGCCAGTGGGGGAGAATGTTAGCACGAAGAGGATTGACTTGAGGACTCCAGCAGACGAAAGGTTGATTTGCTTGTGAGCATTATGGAAATTTACACATGGTGAATTCTCCATGGGTCATATCATTCACTGATGGAGAATGTTTAGAAGGATACTAGTCATTAGGAGCAGTTTTAGATCTAAAGTATTAAACTCTCTGGTTTGGGGAACATATGTCTAGTAGGTTTAATTCTTAAAAATCTACTTCCTGCACTTATAAAACATCTTTTTAATGACTAGTAGAGCTAACAATATTTTCTGTGGTTAGATAAAGGATCTATTAGGCTGGGCACAGTGGCTCACACCTGTAAACCCAGCACTTTAGCAGGCTAAGGCAAGAGGATTGCTTGAGCCCTGGAGACCAGACTGGGCAACATAGTGAGACCTTGTCTGTACAAAAAATTAGCCAGGCATGGTGATGCACTCCTGTAGTCCCAGTTATTTGGGAGACTGAGGCAGGAGTATTGCCTGAGTCTAAGAGGTTGAGGCTGCAGTAAGCTGTGATCCTGCCACTGTACTCTAGCCTGGGTGGCAGAGTGAGACCCTGACTAAAAAATATATATACATATGAAAATAGAGATCTACTCTGAACTTTTTGGTGAACTTAAATTTAAGACTTAATCTTCTGACATTGTGTTCTTTAGTTTTTTTAAATTATGAGGATATAATTTATGTTTAGTGAATTCCTCTGTGCCCCCTTGATAGTCACCCCGTTCCGCCCTCCCACCTCTAGCAATCACTGGTCTGTGTTCTCTCCCCGTGGTTTTACCTTTTCCAGGATGTCACGTAAAGCAGCTCTGCAGTAGGTATTATTTTGTCTTCTTTTACTCAGCGTCATGGACCTGAGATTCAGCTATGCGGCTGTAATCCGTTGCCGTCCAGTCCTTACTGTTGCTGAGTAGTAGTTTCCATTGTATTGTGTGACAGTCTGGTTACCCATTCCCCAGTTGAGGGAGGTTTAGACGGTTTCCGGTTTTCTTTAGGTTTCACTGAGGTTTTTTTTTTAATTGAAAAAGGAATACACGTGTGTTGCATGGTGATGCAAGTATGGCTATTACAGGCACACAGCCTCCCTCAGTCCTCTAGCCCCTCCATCCCCTGGTGTCCCTGCTCTGACAGACTGGAGCTTGTCTTTCCAGACCTTTTCCTGGACAAGCATCCCCACACAAACCAACACACATAGATATAGTTGTGGGAGGGGTGCTATTTTTAACAAAAATAACATGATCATGCCTGTTTTGTTCTGCAGTTTGCATTCTTTGCTAAGCAATATATCCATAAAAGCCTTACCAATATATAGATAGATCACTTATATAGATCAGTCTTAATTTTTTAACACCTGTGTGATATTCTGTGAAATAACATACCTAATTTAGTAGGTCATTCCTCTGTTGTTAAACTTTATGTTATCACTACTTTCCCTCATTACAAATAATTCTACTGCTTACTTTTCATATTAAAATTTTGGTTCTACCATTTGAGTATTCCTGTAGATTTCCAGAAGTGAAACTACTTACAGGGTATGTGTATTTACCTTTTTTTACATGCCGCTCAGTTGCCTGCAAATAGTGCTTTCAAAATAGTATATGATAATATCGAGTACTTTCAATGATGTATGGTAGACTAAGCTCTTGGTCTTAAAAGATTTAAGAAATTGCTCACGGAGTGATACATTCTGCGTTCTATTCTTAGATGTCTCTAATCAACAGTGTCTTCTAGGAATCAAAAATAAATTTGTTCTCGGTCAAATAAACGTTATGCATATTATTTTTCACCCTAATACTATAGTATGCTGATACTTAAAGGGCACCATGAAAAGTTGAATTACTAAAGAATGTAATTTCCATTTAATAATGATCATAGCTTAACTGGGATTTTAATCACTATATATATAATAGTGATTAAAATCCCAGTATATATATATATACACGTATATATAAGTCCACTGTGAATTCTTCCCCCAGTCTGAGGATTACTATGACATGAGGCGACTGTATACAATTTTGGGAGCTTCTCTATTTTACAAGGTAAGTTGAAGCTTGAAATCTGTGTGAATGTCCAACTGCTATGTAAACAGACCTTTCTCAAACTTTTGCAAACATGAAAAACACATTTATCTCTTTTCCTCTGAACGTAGGCACCATAAGATTAAGACCTTATAGCAAGACTTGTACCAACATACGAGTATTTGTAAATATAGTAAGTATTGATGGTTTCATTGCATTCTTAAGTGTTCATACATGTGATAAAGAGCAACAGGACTCAACCAAGCATGTAGGAGAGAAAAACAATACTTTCTTGATTTCTTTTTGCAATGGTGTGGTGTTTTGTTCTATCTTCAGAAGCAACTGTACATCTTTAAGTAAATCTCATAACATTTAGCTGCCTTCTCTATAAAACAAGTTAAGTATCAAATAAATTTAAGCATTTTTGTTTTTTAGAAATATTTTTAGGTATATATCATTTATGTTTTTGTTATTATAAACAAAATTCTGAACCTTATAACAGTGTTTAGTTAGAAAAGATCTCTACACATAATATGAAACACATCTAACAAAGAACCAGACAGTACAGAAAGGCACACAGTGAAAAGGCAGTCAATGCCTAGACCCTGCTTCTTCCCTTTCCATCCTCAGAACTCAGTTCTTTTCTAATTTTGCTGGCCTCTCAAAGCTGTACTCTGCAGAAGGGATCTTGCTTTACACTTACGTCTACCTGTTGGGTCCCTGAAGTTGTCATTTGATCTCTAGTTTGATCCCAGAATCAAACATTTATTTCACTGTATCTTCATTTATCTCATTTGAAACTAGAATATTCTAAGCCAACTGAAGAAGTGTTTATAAAAGTCTTTGGAAGCTGGGCGTGATGGTTCACGCCTACAATCCCAGAACTTTGGGAGGTGGACGCAAACCTGAGCCCAGGGGTTCGAGACCAGCCCAGACAACTTGGCGAGACCTTGTCTCTGCAATAAATGAAAAAATTAGCTGGGCGTGGTGGCACGCACCTGTGGTTCCAGCTACTTGGAAGGCCAAGGTGGAAGGATCTCAGCCCAGTAGGTTGAGGCTCTGGTGGCCGTGAGTGTGCCACCACGCTCCAGCCTGAGTGACAGAGGGAAACTCCAACTCAAAAAAAAAAAAAAAAGAAAGAAAAGAAAAGTCTTTAAAATATGTTATGGGATCCCTACAGCTGTGTATCACTGTTGGCTGTTGTTCTCTGTGGTCGCATTCCAGGGCTATTTGATATGCAGTCATTTGCCTAAGGATGACCTCATTGACATAGCTGCCTACTGTCGCCACTACTGCCTGCTGCCCTTAGCAGCAAAGCAGAGAATCGGGCAGCTGATAATGTGGAGGGAGGTGTTTCCTCAGCATCACCTCCAGCCTCCTGCAGATGCAAACACTGAAGTCTTTCAGGAAGCCGAAGGGAGATATTTTTTGCTAATTGTCGGCTTGGTAAGTTTACCTTGGCTTCTTTCTCTCGGTTTTCCTTTTTTTGTTTGCCACCTATTCTCTAAATAAACAAACATGCTTACTTAAAAGTATGAGTACGTTTAATACTAGTATTCAAAAAAATGTTATATGCCCCTTTATTCTTTTTCCTTTGCACCCATTTCATACTAATGGACAAATATTGATAAAATCTAAGAAAATATTTTAGCAGTTTATTGAGATTTTTCTTTCCTCTTTCTGTAGTGGTTTTATCCTTTTAGCTTGTTTTAGAAAATAGAGGGAGACATGAAGATGGCACCAGGTACAGAATAAATATGTAGTTGTAAATTAAATGATTGAGGCTTTTTGACAGTTATCTTAGAGAATTCCATGTACCAAGAGTAGTAGTTGAAGGTATATCAAGGTAAGGCAAAGTAGAATTGTCTTCAGTGGGATCAAGAAGCATTGATATGACCAAGAAGAAAAGAAGAAGGATGAATCCTTTTTTTTTTTAGAAAGCAGGATTTATTGAGAGGAGAGCAAAGCGCCACAGTGGGAGGGGACCCAAAAGGGTTGCCCAGGAGGAATCTTTAATAATCATCACAGAATTGTGCAATAGGTCCCTATGTCTTTGGCTTTTATAAATGTATCCATGCGGGCAACCCCCTTGGGCCCCCTTCCACTGTGGGAACTTTTCTGTCCTCTCAATAAATCCTGCTTTCTAAAAACAAAAAAAAATTATACATGCCTATTGTATGTAAATGTTTTCATGGTAGCTAAGCTATATTAATAGCTGCATTCATATTTTCCTTATAGAGATATTACATGTTGTGTGTACTCTTAGAAGCTGGAGGCTGCGCATCCAAAGCTGTCGGGAATCCTGGACCAGACTGTGTGTACGTGGATCAGGTCAAAGCCACCCTGTACCAGCTGCAAGGGGTAGACTCCCGCATAGAGGACCGTCTGGCGACTTCTCCAACTCCCTGTTTATCCTGTGCTGACTGGTTCCTGGCTGGGCCACGGGAAAAAACAGAGGGTGTGACCACTTCACCTATTCTCAGCAGGTTACAAGGTACTTCCAGGGCTACAGCCTCGCCCAAATGCAAAAGGACTCTTTTTGGTGACTATCCCTTAAGGGTGCGTAAACCCAGTCCGCCTCGAAGCAGTGGAGGATCTGACGGTGCGTGTGCTGGTGGAGACGGCGGGGGCCTTAGCCCGCAGACTACACCGGAGGCAGTGCGGAGGCAAAGAGAGTCTCAGGGCTCTGATGGGTCAGAAGACAGCGGGGCCTTGCTTCAGGTGTGTGCTCACTCCGCGTGTATATCCTGGAGCTGTCTCTCGGGCCTTATTTTGTGATCACAGGAGAATTTTTTAAATGGCATATCAATCCTCATTAGAAATGGTGATCGTTTCAGTCACTGTTGGCAAAGCAATTACTTAGAACCAAAAGGAAAGGGAATTATGATCTTATTATCAAGTAACAAGCCAGGGCACCTTGCCATCCAGTCTCTCTGTTGAGCAACATACAAGCAGGGAAGCTCTCTAATGTCACCTTCCATGTCTGTGTCCTTCTTCTCTATTTACAATCAGAGAACTTCCTCTCTGGGACATCAGGGTGACCCGACTCAATAGCCAATAAAATGTTTTTAGTAGATAAGTATTGTTTTATTTGCATCTGTGAAGGTCTGCTTTCTGTACTGGAAGATGTAAAATTGTGACTGTAAGGCAAGGAGGATATTCATTTTGTAGATTATTTATCACTTCTATAGTTTTTTTCCCCATGAAAATACCACAAAAACTCTAAATGATAATCAAGGTAATCACCCTGGGGGCCTCATGCTTAGTCTGGTGATGCTATTGTCTTTCCAAAGACTCTGAAACTTTAGAAACTCATCATGAGGGCAGATGGAGGTGATGCCAGGCAAGGCCTGAAAAAGGAGGAGTCTGGGAAGGAACACAAATTGTTCTGAGTGGCGTGGCAGAAATGGCCATAGATCCAGTCTCCTGATTTCAAACAGTAGAATACTCCTGGAGCCCCAAGTGGAATGTTCTTAGGAGGCTCTCCCCTCAGTCCGGGAGCCACTTATCCTGGTTGGTGAAATTGGAAATACAGACTGAGAGGATCTGGACAGATTTAAATTGCCAAGCCCTGAACAGCTCCAAAGAGAAATCGAACCAACTTTTAAGATGGCCATTCAACACATGTAGATTGAACATCTACTAATTGCCAAGGGCCGTGCTACACAAGAGAGATACAGAGGTCATTAAGACACAGCCTGTGACTCTAAGGAGTGCAGAGTCTAGGAAGGAGACAAATGTGCAGATGTACTAACTTGGTGATGGCCCTGGGGAGGTTTTTGGGGAATATCCTCATGCCCCTGTGATAAGGTCCAGGGGTCCTTGTTAGCAAAGGGTAAGCCAAGAGGCAAGTTAGCCTTGAAAATCTTTAAAGGAAGCATTGTAAAATGTTAGGAGTATTCTTAGAGGGATTATTCATTTGTAACTTATCTCTGCTGATTCCATCCCTAGATATAAACTGGTCTACTTTCCTGTATTTTTCAGGTCACTAAAAAGAAATCTACTCTTCCAAATCCATTTCATTTAGGAAACTTGAAAAAGGACCTTCCAGAAAAAGAATTGGAACTTTATAACACAATGAAGTAAGAACATTCCCTATGATATTCTTTTTTACTTAAACTCTTTGAGGAAGTTTTACAATGAGAAAGTATAATTTCATAACACATATGAGAGACCTAAAAAAACTGGAATTTATTTATTAAAAATTGTGTATTTATTCTTATATGTTTAAACTTCAGTCCCCTTCCAAGTACTCTCTGTTTGATGCAATACACCTATGGAGACACTTTTTCCACTGCTCAAAACAGTTTTTAAACTCATTAATGTTGATGATGCCTTTTAGTGCTTCTACCTTTTTTTGTTTCAGCTCTTCCACATCAATAAAATGTTTCCCTTTGAGGACTTTTTTCATTTAGGGAAACAAAAAAAATGTTTTTTAAGGACAAGATCGGGTAAATAGGGACGCTGGGGAATGAGGGCCATGACATTTTTGGTCAAAAACTGCTGAATACTCAGCGTGGTGTGGGCAGGTACACTTGTAAATCACCTGTCATGAAATGAGCAAACACATTGAAAGAATCTCCCCCCCCAAAAAAGACAAACACAGCCTCTCACAGCAACACTAGCTGATACACTGATGCTGATGAGTTCCTAGAACACTTACCTGGTGGGGGAAGCCTGTACTACAAGGGACCCACCCTCCAAATGATAATTCTGATTTTTGGAGGGTTCCCCTCGTAGAGATTTTATTCAACAAATATCATTATGAGATATCTTATATATAGAGGTAATATATGTGACATTTTCGTAATATTTCATTACACATTGGGGAAAAATTACTGTATTAGTGCTGGGTTTTTGTGTAGCTTTTGTTGTTGTTGTTTTGAGGCAGGGTCCCACTCTGTCACCAAGGCTGAAATACAGTAGTATGAACTTGGCTCACCACAGCCTCAAACTCCTGGGCTCAAGTGATCCTCCTGCCTCAGCCTCCCAAATTAGCTGGGACTACAGATGTGCACCACCAGGCCCAGCTAGTTTTTCTGTTGTTTTGTTGAGACAGGGTCTGCTTTGTTGCCCAGACTGGTCTCAAATTCCTGGCCTCAAGCAATCCTCCCACCTCAGCCTCATCTTTTTAGTTTAAGAGATGAAAACACTTAAAAGTAGTATTTCAAGCCGGGCTCGGTGGCTCAGCCTGTAATCCCACGCCTTTGGGAGGCTGAGGTGGGTGAATTGCCTGAGGCCGCAGGTTCGAGACCCGCCTGGGCCACGAGACCTCATCTCTAAAATAAATCAAAAAATCAGCCGGGCGTGGTAGCGCATGCTTGTAATTCCGGCTACTTGGGAGGCTGAGGCAGAAGGATCGCCGGAGCCCAGCAGGTCGAGGCTGCGGTGGCCCGGAGCGGCCACTGCACTCCAGTCTGGGCGACAGAGTGAGACTCCAACTCAAAAAAAAAAAAAAGAAAGTATTTCAAACTGTGAAAGTCCGCCTTTATCTGTCTTCCAAAGGAGACCTCCCTTGTGTGTCTAATACAGTGTTTAAATTCAAGTGTTTCTGGACTCCAGTGGATACAACGGTGTGATGCCGGTCCCCGGTCCCAAAGCTGGCAAGTGACGACTGCTAAGGCCGCACAGCCAAGCCCCACCCAAGCTGTGTCCACACAGACCTTTGTCAGCAGCTAAGATCGTGGCCCTCCCTGGGTGTGGCCCCTTCTGATGACCAGGAGCTACGTGAGCACAAAGCCTTGGCCCCTGGCCTGCCCTCAAGACCGCCCGGGCTCGTGTGCCGGGTGGGGCCCACCAGGCCTCGCGCAGCTACAGCCCCATCGGGTCCCCCCGCGGCTGGCTCCCCGAGGCGTCCCCAGTGAGCATCCTCCCTACTTCCAAGCCCTCAGAGCTTGGGTCCCAGGAAGCTGGCCCCCTAACACCCTCTTTCGTAAAACGGTGAAACCTCAGGCTCACATTGAGTAGGGCATTCTGAGGGGAAAGGCCCTGGGTGAGGAGAGAATGCTTAGCAGCTTAGAAAGTCGATTGTGCTCGCAACCTGAAAAGCTAACTGTTCCCTTATGCAATTAGTGGGCGCTGACAGGCAGACCTGCCTGAGCCTTGCCTGGTAGGCAATTGTGATGTCTTGTGTGGGATCAACTGGTGCAATAAATTCAGTTGCATAATTTCTTGGAATAGTGAGACATGTGCAAATAGAATTCACACACACACACCGAGGGTACCACCTTCTTAATCACTGAAACATGTTACAATAAGTTCCACTATATATGTCACAGGGATTGTGAGGATTGTCAGGAAATGCTTGTTTCCGGAGTCAGGCCAAAAACAAGGTACTTTGCATAAAATAAAATATTGGAAATCTAATGTGTTTAAATTTGGTATTTAATGCCTCCAAGTATGAAATATTAAGTTTTTGATAGTTAAGAATATTTTTACAAATTGAAAATAAGCCTTTTATGGAACCCTAAGGTTTCTTCACAAAATCTTAGTCTTCCACTTAAAAAAAAGATTGCTCTGAAATTTTATTACCTTTATGTCACATTTTAAAAATATATGTTATTGTGGCATTACCTCTAGTGAAAGGAAACTATTTTCAAGGTCAGTAGCTTAAGCATAAATTCACATGGGGTATAAATCATAGGCTTTCCTGTTTTAAAAGACACCAAAGATGTGTGTGTTTATTTCCACTGACACAACAAGGTGTTTTTATGGGATGCCATTCATTTTAAAAGCATGATATAAAACAGGATGTAGTGTATTGTCTTAACTTATATGTCCGTATTTTTGTAAAATACGGACATATCATATATTTAAAATACTGTGCACAGGAACTTTCATTCGGTAGCCAAGTCCTGTCCGTTCTATGGTTCTGTGATCCAGTGGCCCTTGGGTCGGTTCAGCCCTGCTGAACTTCCCCGTTCCAGCTCGGCCTCCCTGACCTGGTTTCACTGCAGCCCCCTCTCAGTTCCCACACTGATTCCCACCTCTGCAGATCCTACCTCTGCTGCAGGAGTCGCCTTTCTAAGAACAAACCTGACTTACCTGCTTCTGTTTACATATCTTTTGTTTTTCTACCCAGTAGTTGCTTACTTGGTGATTTTTAGCTTTTAGTTAATATACACTGTGAGTGACTTTAAGAATTCCAAGTGATAAACTTGTTCTTGTTTTATTTTTGAGAGAAAAAGTTAAAAGATCACAAAAATGTTCATTTTAGTTCCCACAAAAGTAAATTTATGAATAGTCCTTTGGTAAAGAATAGTTTCTGTTCAATACCTTTTCTTGAGTCGGAAGACCTCCAGATTAGATGTGTGTTGTTATTTTATTTTGTCCGGATCTATTTCTAAATCTAATTCGATCCCTGTACCTAGACCAAACGCCAACCCTTATGTTAAGACCAACCCGAACTTTAGCCCCAGCCCTAACACAAACCCTAACCCTAACCCCACCTTAACCCTAGACCTAACACTCAACTTCATCCTAATCCTAGACCTAACCATAACCATGCCCTAGCACTAACACTAATTTTAACTTTAATCCTAGCCCTGACACCAACCCTAACCCTAAACCTAATCCTAAAACTAGCTCTACTCCTATTCTAAACCCACACCCTAACTTTAGCCCAAACCAAAACCTAAGCCTAACCCCACCACTAGCACTAGCTTTAATCCTAGCACTAACCCACTTCTAATCCTAACCCTAACTCTGGCCCAAGCCATATACCTAACCCTAAACTTTTTTTAATGTGGTTTGAGTTATTTCCTTTCTGAATAACCCCAATTCCTTTCAACCTAGTTGTTTAAGTTTTTATCTCTAGAGAGATGGCATCTACCCAATGGAAAAGTGAGAGAAGAATTTGTGAGTGATCTCTTCCTCTGTATCCCTTGTCTCAGAAGAGGAAGTTTATTTGGATCATGCTGCCCTGTTAAAGTGACAGTTTAATGGAAACTTAACAAGCACGGATGATCCAGGCAGAATGTAGACTAAGAGCTGGAATCTGCCCTTTCCTTACCTCCGGACTTATGGCTGGAAAAAAACGAGTGAAGATATTTTTCAGCGTACACAGCCTTTATCATAGAAGGGTTAGAATGGGGCAGCATGAGTGTGTGAGATGCAGGGAGAGACTTCCTGTCCACATGTTTAAAGATTGCCAATCAGAAGCCAGCCCCAGAGAGGAAAAAGCAAGATATTGAAAGAGCAAGCTTCAGGCTGGGCGTGGTGTAATCCCAGCACTTTGGGAGGCCGGGGCAAGAGGATTGCCTGAGTCCAGGCGTTCGAGACCAGCCTGGGCAACTTGGTGGGACCTCATCTCTACAATAAATCAAAAACTTAGCCGGGCATGGTGGTGCACGCCTATGGTTCCAGCTACTTTAAGGCTGAGGTGAAGGGATCACCTGAGCCCAACAGGTTGAGGCTGCAGTGGCCGTGAGTGTGCCACTGCATTCCAGCCTGGGCAACAGAGTGAGACTCCTACTCCAAAAAAAAAAAAGAAAAGAAAGAGTAAGCTTCAGAGTCCACTAAGCTCTGCCCCTTGGCAATGCGACCTCTCCAGCAAGATAATTCAAGTCCTCTGAACATTGGCTTTCTCATGGTCAGCAGGAGGCTAGTAATAACTTGCAAGGTCATGATGAGAATAAGACTGAGGTGTTGTAAAGACCCTGCTCTCCTCCATAGGGTGCATTCAGTATTGGGTAACTATTGTTTTTATTGTTGGTGTTACTCTTGTTTTTCAGGTCCTCTTACTACTGGTAGAAATTAACGGTATTTTGAGGTTCTGCTGGCCTGTTTGAGGTTAACTAGAGGAGGAAATGATGGGGCAGAGAGGGAAAATGAGAACAGTAAGAGAACACAGGAGAAACAAGACTGTAATGATGAAAAGCGGTAGACAGCAACCAGTAATTGCCATGGTGTTAGAGAGAATGAATCCAGCTTTCAGTGGGCAGTCATCATTCTGTTACTCTTTGGGATCATCAGGGTGACTGTCATGATAAAGGACTTTAACGCTGCCAACGAACATGTGTTTAGTTTGTTGTAAGGTCTTCTTCTATGTGGTCTACCCTAAACTGATGCCTTGCTTATGGCTTGAGCTAGCTGAGCCAGACATGAGCTGGGTTACTCATTACCAACCATGGAAAAAGAGGGTTTAGTCAGTTGTTTAGCCAAGGGATGATTAAGTTACTTGCAGATGAATTGATGCTTATTTATCCTTATATAACGTGTAGTGTTTCCCTCCATTAAGGGAATTATTAACCATAGCCTGTACTTTAGTAAAGGGAAGTCATTGTTTCCCTTCCTTAATTGCACTACTAATATTATGTTGTAGATAAGAACTTATAAAGAGTCTGCTAAATTCAAAATGAACCATTGTCATTAAACTTACCACAGTTTCTTTTTCCTTTCTACATTTTGTTTCTTTTCTTTTCCAGACTGACTTCTGGTCCTGAGAACACGCTTTTCCATTACGTTGCCTTGGAAACCCTGCAGGGAATCGTCATCACTCCGACCCATGAAGAGGTGGCTCAGCTGAGTGGCTCTATCCACCCGCAGCTCATAAGGAATTTCCATCAGTGTTGCCTTTCCATTCGTGCAATTTTCCAGCAGACACTGGTGGAAGAGGTAAGCCACTGTGGTAAATCCAGTTTTCTGCCTGTTTAATTTCCATATCTCTCAGCAGTCTCTCTGTTCTCTAGTCAGTATGTCCAGCATTTAATTAAAGTGTTTTCTTTCAACAGTCACTCAATCTAACTTGGGTACCAAAAGGATGATACTTGTGGTACTTCAAAGCTTTGTTTTATAATCCTGATTGTGATGTCCTGGGCAACTATTGCAGGGAATGGTGCCCCTGTTTTCTATAGCAAAGTAAATATGTAGTGGGTAGTATAAGTGAACCACTGACATTTGATCTCTGTGACCAAATTCCTTGGTCAGTACTATCTACCCTTTTTTTTCCTAAAACAATGCTGATAATTCTTTAAGTATTCAATCAACAGTATAAGGCAATTTGGAACATAATGGGCTAAGGTACAGCTGTGGACATAATATTGCAGTGTTTTCGCACTGGGTTGCCTGCATGCTTGCAGGGTGAAGCTTCACTGGACATTGGACCTGATGGATGAGTCGTGATACTGTATACAGTTACAATAACAATTAGATTTTTTTCTTTTTTTAGATTTTAAAATGTAGTTTAGCTGGGCTTGGTGCCTCAACCTGTAATCCCGCGGCTTTGGGAGGCTGAGGTGAATGGATTGCCTGAGCCTGCGGGTTCGAGACCCGCCTGGGCAGCAATACCTCATCTCTAAAATAAAATCAAAAAATCAGCCAGGTGTGGTTAGTGCATGCCTGTAATTCCGGCTACTTGGAAGGCTGAGGCGGAAGGATCACTGGAGCCCAGCAGGTCGAGGCTGCGGTGGCCGGGAGCAGCCACTGCACTCCAGTCTGGGCGACAGAGTGAGACTCCAACTCTCAG